CCGTGGACCTCACACATGTATCGAGTTGAAGACTCCTTATGAGGTGTGGTATGGTAAGCTGCTGATTACTCTTCACTGAAAGTTTTTGGGTGTCCTGTTTATTATCATGTGGATGAGGGTAAACTGAACACAAGGGCAAAGAAGGGTGTATTTGTGGGTTACGGAGATGGAGTTAAGGGATTCCGAGTCTGGTCACCTTCTGAGCATCGAGTTATACTCAGTAGAAATGTGATATTTAATGAGAAGTCTATGTTTAACCCCATGTTGAAGGTTACTGTTGTTGAAGGTAGCAGGAATGTTGATAAGCAGGTGGAGCTGTAAACTCTCAATGAGAGTGAGTTTGAGCACCAAGGTGGAGAAGATCAACATGATGAGGATGTCTCTGCAGAGCCAGAAACTTCAGAGTCCAGTGCACGAGCTCAACAGTCTATTGCTTCCGGTAGACCGAAGAGAGCGACTGCAGGAGCACCTCCACAGAGGTATGGCTTCGAGGACATGGTGGCGTATTCATTTCAGGTTGCTGAAGAAGTGGATGCAGGAGAGCCACAGTCCTACAGAGAAGCAGTTTCGGGCGGTGAAGCTGATCAGTGGCTTGCCTCAATGGGAGATGAGATGTAATCCCATGACATGAATCAGACTTGGGAGCTAGTCAAACGACCACAGGGAAGGAAGATTGTTACAAACAAGTGGATCTACAAGAAGAAGGAAGGAATCACTTCTAAAGAGGGCATGAAATTTAAAGCTCGGGTGGTTGCACGAGGCTTCTCGCAGAGGGAAGGAGTTGACTACAATGAGATTTTCTCACCAGTGGTCAGACATACTTCGATTAGAGTGCTACTAGCAATAGTGGCACATTATGACTTGGAGCTCGAGCAGCTAGACGTGAAGACAGCTTTCCTACATGGAGAGTTGGAGGAGGAAATTTACATGACTCGGCCAGAAGGATTCGAGGTTCCGGGAAAAGAAGACTATGTTTGTAAGCTGAAGAAGTCCTTGTATGGACTTAAGCAATCTCCGAGGCAGTGTTACAAGAGATTTGACAGTTACATGCTTGAGCTGGGCTACAGCAGAAGTCCATATGATTGTTGTGTGTATCACAACAAGGTGGAGGATGGTTCGATGATCTATCTTGTTATGTATGTGGATGATATGCTCATAGCTGCGAGGTCAAAGTCTGATATCCATAAGTTAAAGGGGCTTTACAGGGATAGGTTGAAGAAGAAGCTTTTCTTGTCACAGAAGAGCTACATCCAGAAGATACTGTCGAGGTTTGGCATGTCTTCAGCAAAACCCTTAAATACTCCCAGTGCTTCAAATGTTCATCTATCCTCAGCTTATGCACCGCAGTCAGAGGCTGAGAAGGAGTACATGTCGAGAGTCCCATATGCTAGTGCAGTAGGTAGCTTGATGTACGCTATGGTATGCACTAGACCTGATCTTGCACATGCTGTTAGTGTTGTCAGCAGGTTTATGATACAACCTGGGAAGGAGCATTGGCAGGCTGTGAAGAGGATCTTCCGGTACCTTAAGGGTACACCTGATGTGGGGATTAGCTTCGGAAGTGATACAGAGTGCTTGGTGTCTGGGTATTCTGACTCGGACTATGCTGGAGATGTTAACACGAGGAGATCGATGACCGGTTATGTATTCACTCTTGGGAAATCTGTAGTGAGCTAGAAGGCAACTTTGCAGTCGGCGGTGACATTGTCTACTACTGAGGCAGAGTATATGGCGTTGACAGAAGCTGCTAAGGAGGGAATATGGTTGAAGGGACTGGTTGGTGATCTGGGTCTACATCATGATCAGGCAGTGGTGTATTGCGATAGTTTGAGTGCAATATGCTTGGCCAAGGATCAAGTCCACCATGAGAGGACTAAGCACATCGATGTGAGGTATCATTTCTTGAGGATAGAGAAGAGGATTAAGGTGAAGAAGGTTGGCACCGCGAATAATCCTGCTGATATGTTCACGAAGCCGGTTCCACATGGCAAGTTCCAACACTGCTTGGACTTGCTGAATGTCTTGAGTGGGTGACTCCTCCCTGCAGGGCATTGATGGCGGGAGAGAGAGAGATAAGGAGCAGAGTACATCAGAGATTTTCAGAGGAAGAGGATTCAAGTCAAGGTGGAGATTTGTTGATGTGACATGAATCGGACTATCAGCCGCTACGACTGGTAATCGGCCTGGTCTGTAACCGTTTCCTTTTGCTTGATTGGATTAGGTTTATACCCACATAGAGAAGTACTATAAATACTTCTCATACTCCTCTGTAATATGTAATCTCCTTGATATAGTGAAACTGGCTCTCTCTCGCCCGTGGACGTAGCTAACAAACATTGTGTTAGTGAACCACGTAAATCGTGTGTCGTGTTTTCGATTCTCGCTTTCGTATTCTTGCTTCAATGTTTGCACCAACTCAGCCACCTCCCGCTCGAGCCAGGACCTGGCCTCCATGGCGTGCACACTATGATCTCGGGAATTCCTGCCTCTAGTGCTCTGCCCCCAGGAATGATCTCTGGCAGCCAAGGTACTGATCATCTGGTTCAGTTCGAGGGGAGTCTTAGTGAGAATATCCCCTCCTGGGCATAAAGACTCAATCACCCTCTGGCTTTCCGGAGAGAAAGCACTATAGAAGTTCCCCACGGTGAATGCATCACTGAAGCCATGATGGGGACACTGCCAGAAAAATCCCGAGTACCGCTCCTATGCATCACGAAGCGACTCATCTGGCTCTTGGCGGAAGTGAGTGATCTCCCGCTGAATCTCTGTAGTCTTCGATGTCGGATAGTACCTGTTCACAAACTTGTTGGCCAGATCATCCCAAGAAGTAATGGACAATGGGGGCTAGGTCTCCAACCACCTCTTTGCATGCCCCGCCAGAGAATGGGGGAAGAGGTGAAGGCGGATCGCATCATCGGGTACACCATTCATCTTGAACCCGCTCGTCAGCTGCAGGAAATGGGAAAGATGCACCCTTGCCTCCTCATCCTTCAAGCCATGAAACAGGATAGAGGATGTGATGAGTTGAATCCAGCATGGCTTGATCTCGAAGTTGTTCGCTGGAATCAGTGGATAGTGGATGACAGGGCGGATATCAGCGACCCGTGGAGTGTAGTAGTACTCCAAGGTGGGACCCGGCGGCGGTGGTTGATGATGAACCCCATCTGCCTGGGTTATTGGATTGTTCCCCTAGATCTGATTTACCGGTGGAACCTGGAGAGGTATCCCCTGGGGCGGGTTATGTTCACCTTCCATCTCGTACTCGTCCTTGGAATCGCTGCTCAAGTGGCCGTCTATGCGCTCCTCCGTAGCTAGTCTAGCTCGCTGTTGTCTCCTAAGTTCGCGACAGGTGCGTTCAAGCTCCGGATCCAACGGCAGTAAACCTCCCGACTGGCTACGGGTCATGCACTACCTGCACACAGTCAAGCAGCAAACCCGTGAAGGCACAAGTAGGACAAAGCAAACAAACAATGCTAAAAAGAAAAGCTAAATTAACGGAAACCACATTTGTTCAACAACCTAGCCATCCCCGGCAATGGCGCCAAAAACTTGACTAGCTTCTACCGCCACTCTAGAAAATGGCCAAGTGTAACCACCTCCTAAAGCGTAGTATAGCGGGTTTGGGTTTTAATGTCAACCCGGGTCCTAAGTGTGATGACTACTCCGTGAGTTCTTATTATTTAGCAGTGAAAGTGTAGTGAAGGTCCAAACAAGCAAAGCAGCTAAAAGGTTGTTTTCAAGTTGAGAGAGGCACCTGGATATGGTTCCCCCTAGACTGCAGTTAAGCCGGATTGTAATTTACCAAGTTCAATTTCAATGATAGTTATACTCCGGGAGGTTCTTAAACAGTCTGCAGTCTCGATTAAAGGTCTCCAGACCCTCTCAATCTGAATCCCCAGCGGGCGACTAACCTCCACCGGAGTAAACAGATTGAGGCCCTAACGAACCAAACCTCTTCTACTGAAGTAAATCCGGTACAGAATAGTGAATTGACTCCTTGACTAAAGTCGCCAATTCACTGCCTTCAATCAAGGGTGCTCTATCAACCTAGGCAGATATTCTCTTTCTAGGTCAAAGCAGAAATAACAGGAATTTAATCAGGATTCATGCCATTCAAGAAATCAAACATCAATTGAATATAATCATATCACTGAATTCGTACTTGGGTTCATACAATCAGACCTAACATACAAATCTAGGGTTCTTCATACCCAGGTGAATGAGAAAGTTACTCCATAGAGAGAGACGGGAAATCTAGCTCAGATGCGGAAACCATACTATGAAGGATGAGATTCTGCTTCTGGCAATCAATCAACACTTCTCCAAGCTCAAGTCGGGCTCCAATGGTGATGAAGATCGATCTAAGATGCTTGAAGAATCAGGTTCATCACTTTCTCTCTCTAGGTATATGCTTTTTCTCTCTAAAACTCGGAACCCTTCAACTTTTCCCTTCTTTTCCCTTAAGAAGCTATAAATCGCGATCCCCGGTCAGAATACCCGGTCGGGTATTTTAGGTGGCGACCGGGGATTCTTGAAACGCACCATCGAGGACAGGGGATTAATCCCAAGTCAAGGTCAAGAATACCGGACCGGGGATTTATTGTCAATGCCCGGGCCCTCTTCTGCTTCTCAAACGCCCAAAAGAGATTTTCCCCGGTCTGCGCAGATTAATACCCGGCCGGGCATTTTTGCTCATGGTCGGGTATTTTGCTCCTCCAGCACACTTCAACTCAAACGTGCTCCTTTCGACCCGAAACTCGTTTCTTCGCCTCGATGCCAACGCCAAGCCCTGAAATATGACATAAACACACAACCTAGCGTGAAATTGGCTTAAAACACGATAATCAACATCTCAAACGGCTCAAGAATAGGGGTAAAAACATGTGCAATCAATAGTCTACCAGATGCAGATGATATAACTATCCCTTTTCATGGGATGTCTAAATCCGTTTGGGTTAACAACAACATAAGAGGCGCTCAAAATCACCCCAAATCAGCTTGCAGAATGGAGGAAATGCGAAGGATACCATGGGTGAGGATGGATCGGGAAGCAATAACCAGGCCCATGGATAGGGGTAAGGAGCCCAGGGATTTCGGTCCTAGGATGAGAGAGAAACAGACGCTGTCCAGGCGGAACCCTAAGGGATTCACCATTTCCCGCTCGCCCAAAATGAACTTGGGGGCCAACATCCAACGTCGCGCCAAAGGAAAGGAGAAGCAAGGCCCAACCCGAGCTGCTTTTGACTCAAAAGAGGATCAAAAATTGGGGCGGCTGGCTAAGAAGGCGGTGAGCTGTGATGTAGGTGGTAGTGTGAATGAAGGGCCAATCTCCCCGGGGATGGACACTGATAATCCTCCCCACGCAGTGGATAGACTTGATCATCCTGTCGAAATTCAATCCGGGAGGAGGCGATTGTTGTTGGAGGAAGATATGGAAGAAGAAATGTCGCCTTTGTTTGCCTCTCTTAGGGATGCGGGATACTCAGTGGAACTGAAAACAATCGCTGGGGGTCGGGGGAGCTATGCTCCCAATGAGCCTAATGTGGAGAGTGAACCACACATCTAATTTGGCCCCAAGGCGCCCTTCCAAAGCTCAAGCTCGCCAACCGCCAAGCGCAGATGCTGCTGCCAAAAAAACCAGGGGGAAACTTGTGGTGAATAGGTCGCGCAATACACCCAGGAAGACTACAAAGTCTGCGGTTGTTGATGATGGGGACTGGGAGGAGGTTCCTATAAAGGAAGTAATGGCGACTGTCTCTTCCCCAATTAAAGCCGCCCTTAATCCTGTTCAGGATGGTGGTTTAAGGGCTGAGTCAACTGAGACGAGTCTGAAGGGAGACATGCACTGTTTTGATCTCAAAAGTAGAAAGCCTACTGCTGAAAGGTCGAACAATGGGCATGTTCAGCAAGTGGTGCGCGCATTCGAGGCAGGACTAAGCTTTAACAAATCCCATTCCTCTCCTCCGCCGAATGAAGCGCCTAGCACGCTCGCTGGAGATCTCGGGAGTTTAAATGAATATGGGTCCAACTATGATGCCATACAAAACAGAGATAGAAAAAGGGCATTCCCGAAGATGGATGGGGACGAATGCGAGCACCCTACACCAAAAAGACAGTTTGTGGAGGAACGAGATGTTGCTGATACGGTGGAGGAAACCAGCCTAAAGTGGTCACAGCAAGATAAATGAGGCTTCTGGCCTGGATTGTGAGAGGAATTGGACCATCCCTCACATTCCAAACTTCTTTGGGGTTAGTTCATTCGAATAAACCGGACCTTGTCTTCTTTTCAGAAACAAGAGCTCGCCGGAGATTAGTTTCCCATCGTTTGCGGGGTTTAGGGTTTGAGTCTTCGCATACTTTTTTTGTGGATGCTATTGATGCTTCGGGTGGTCTTGTTATTGTTTGGTCCCCCGAAGTTGATGCTTTAGTGTTTTTTCATTCGGATTTTTGTATTAGAGTCCAAATCAATGAAGTGGATTTTTCTTACGTTGTTTTTTGTGTTTACATTAGTTGTAACTCCTTTATCAGAGCCATGCAATTGGCCATCTTCATGAAGTCTGTGACACTATCCATCTGCCTTTCGTGGTTATTGGGGACTTCAATACCACCTTGCACAAACATGAAAAAGATGGGGGTAATGCTTGGAATAGTATGCAATCGATCAGTCTCCGTGACTTTATCATCGACCTTGGGCTCCATGATCCCGGCTATCAGGGGGATACTTTCACCTGGACAAATAAGAGCCTTGGAAATGCCTTCATTCGCGAACGTCTTGATAGGGCCCTCTGCTCCCACCGGTGGGTGGAGCAATTCCTTCATACTCTTGTCAAACATTCTACAGACAGACCATAGGGCTCTACTCCTCGCGGACAAGCCATATGTTCGACAAAGTCGACCTCTGTTCAGTTTTGATGCTCGTTGGGCGGACAACCCTGAAGTTAGGGCGATGGTTAGATATGTGTGGTAGGAGCCTATTTCAGGGACCCCGATGTACCAGCTATGGGAGAAAATTAAAAACTTGAGACATCTTCTCTATGACTGGAGTAGGGCTGGGATTACCAATTCGCTTCGCAATATTAAGACCCTACAAGCGGAGATTGAACACATCAAGTCCTATCATCCCATAAATTGGGAGGAGGTGAAGGTTCTGGAGATGGAACTTAATCGCCAATGGGAGGCTGAGGAGTTGTACTGGCAGCAAAAATCCTGGGTGCATTGGCTCAAGAAAGGTGATAAGAACACCTTGTATTTCCATACTGATGACTTGATATATACACATGTTTTTATCCACCATTCCTGTACCGTTTGAGTCTCATCTCTCGTGTTTTAGGCCGATTTCATGCTAGGTTGTTCTTGTTTGTGATATTTCAGGTCCTAGTACGTGAAAGAAGGTTTGGGCACGAGTTCGGGGTCGATTGGACGAAGTTGGGGTGTTTGACGAAAAGCTGGAAAAGCCACACGGGCACGCCTAAAAATCCACACGGCCGTGTGACACCAAATTGCACGGGCAAGCCACACTGCTTGTGTAGGAGACCCCTTGTGGCCGTGTAGAAAATCCAGGGAGCTCACATAGGCACGCCTAAAATCCACACGGCCGTGCGGTTTTGGCCGTGTAGCGTACCTGAAGCCACTTAAGTGAAACGCGGCATTTTGCACACTCACACGGGCAAGCCTAAAAAGCCACACGGCCGTGTGGTCCAGAATTTCTGGGTTTTAACCCAATTTCGAGCAAAAGGAGAGGGGATCAACTTTTTGGAGCAAAAACATAGCCCTTGAGAGAGAAAGTGCGAAGAACACCCCCTAAGAGTGGTTTTGGAGCTGGGTTTCATCAATCAAGCTTGGAAATCATCCTTGGAGTAGAGATCATCATCCCAGAGCAGATTCTTCCCATTGTTATGAGTATGACTGCTTTGTATGACTCGGGCTTGGTCAGCTTAAGAGATTCCAAGCTACTGTCGGATCTTCCGCAGTATAATCAGCAGTAAAGCAACCAAAAGTAATTACAACTGTGACCTAACTAAGGAGCTAGGGGACTCATTCTCGAGTGACTCTTCCTTTGCTTTAGAAAACCGAACCATTCAATGCTTTCTTACTGCTTTTAGTTAAAACCACAATCAATCGACTTAGTTGGCTAGATAATAGATATTCACGGAGTAGGCAGTAGATCTAGACCCCGGGTTGATAATTAGAACTTTCCACTGTACTGTATTTCCGGATTGCGATTACACTTGGTCGCAGTTTGGTGTTGTGTTTTAGCGTGTCAAGTTTTAAGCGCCGTTGCCGGGGAACTCTAGGTTATTGTAGAAACGTGAAAGTCTGTTACTTTAGCATTTACTTTTATGCATATCTCTTTTCCACCCTTGCTTTTCACTTGGGTATTTTGTTTTTGTTGGTGCAGATATGATACATGGATCCTCATGGCTTCTCCAATCATTGGGGGTATCCACCACCACCGGAGTGGTATTACCCCGAGACTTCCTGGAGAAACCAAGGAGGAGAAGACTATGGACTCGGGTTTCAGTACCAACCTCCCTACTACGAAGAAATCTCCTTATCAAAAAGAATTCCTCCCACAACCAGAAGGGCCATCAGATCTTGATTTAGACACAACCTTCACGGGCCATCCGGCAGAGCCATGCTACACTCCACAGCCAGATCTAAACTATCACTTGAGGCTTCTCGTGGAGCAGATTGCTCGAGTACCTGAGAGATCCTTTCCCGAGATGGATCCTCATATCCAGGCCATGGCCCAAACTGACCTCATACAATAACTGTCCTAGCCCTACCATATCTTTTATTGAATTTCTTTTGGAACAATCACAAACACTTTTTTGATTATGGATCCACTACCGGAAATTCAATGCGTAAGCTTAGTATTCAATGTGTATTCCTGAACAATTTCATTTTTCAATTATTCAACCATTTCCTTTTACCAAGTTCAATGTTAATCCGATTAATAAATATTTCTATGTTTCAATCCAAGAACAAGATATTATTTGTAACAACAAGTTTTATTGGGTGGTTAATTGGTCATATTTTATTCATGAAATGGATTGGATTGATATTAGTCTGGATACAGACTAATAATTCTATTAGATCGAACAAATCCATTGGGTCTAATAAGTACTTGGTGTCAGAATTGAGAAATTCTATCGCCCGAATCTTTAGTATTCTCTTATTTATTACCTGCGTCTACTCTTTAGGAAGAATATCGTCACCTATTTTTAGTAAGAAACTTAAAAAAACTCCAGAAATGGAACAAAGGGAGGAAGAAGAAGATATCGAAATAGAACCAAAGTACAAAACGAGGGAAACTAAAGAGGAAGAGGAGGGGGACTCTTCCCTTTTTTCCGAAGAAAGAGAGGATCCCGACGAAACTGCTGAAATAGAAGAGATTCAAATGAATGGAAAGAAAAAAACTAAGGATGAATTCCATTATCACTTTCTAGAGGGGAATCAAGAAGAATCGAAATTCGAAATATTGGTAGATAAAAAACACCCTTCGGAGCATAAAGAAGCACATAGAGGTCATTGAGAAAGCTTGTGCACAGTTTTCTCAAGACAACCTTTATGTTGCCATACAAGTAGAGGAGGAGGAAGAAAAAGGCAATCATGAGGATGTTGAGGAGCATACATAAGTTGTCACGGAAAGCTCCCATGATAATCATGATCAAGTGTATCCTCAGGTGGTAGATCACAACTGTCCCCATTTCCGCTCTGATATGTTGGGCCCGAGCGAGGAGATGCAAGATGATCTCATTGAAGAAATTAAATGGTGACTTGCTCTCCAATCTGTGCTAGAAGAATAAGAGCGAGAAAGGGTGAGGGAAGAAGTTGTGGAGGATGAGGAAGAAAGCAAAAAAGAGGAAGTTCTTGATCTTTTCCAAGGGGAGATACACATTGTGAAGAAGGAAGGGGGGTTGCGGAAGCAATTGGCGTCCAGGATGAGGATGAAGTTGAGGTGGAAGAGGCTTGCACCGGCCCTATGTTACATGTGATATCTCCACCAAACTTCGAGGAGCTACTTTGCAAGGACCCATTTGCAATGTCTCTTTGCCAGACCAAGACCACATCAACATCAATCCCTCTTGGTGGATGCGATAGTGGTCAATCCATGATATCTTATCTGGTTTGGGGAATTGAGACAAGAGCAACTGCGAAGGAGAGGTCTCGAGTGTGGAGACTTCATCTTCCTCAAGGCCACGAGCCATCTTCATCACCTATCACATCACGTGCTTGTGACTTGAGACTCCACATCATCGACGAGAACCTCAGCTTCAAGGAGGCTCTGGGGTGGACCGAAACTTAGGAGCCACCGTCCAGCTAAAGACGTAAAAGAAGTGCTTGTGGGGAGACAACCCCACCAAGGTTTGTTTTTCTTTTGTTTATTTTTCGGTTTGTCCACTTGGAACTATGGTTTCTATCACCTAGTGTGTTTTGATGACTCTAGACCTGCTGACTGGTCCCATTTCCAGTCCCCCGACAATCCATATTCCAGGTAACATCGTTCCCCCTTATATTTCGCTTACTCCATTGAGGGAAATGTCGTGCTTAAGTGTTGGGGGGGGGGGGTGTTTATCTATTTTTGACTGCTAGATGAGTTTGTGTGCTTGGAGCCTTGTCCACTGTCTAATTTGATGAATTGAGGGCTCCAAGTACTGTTCCTGCAAAATCCTGCTCAGTATGCTTTGAATTGACAGTCTTTATGGTGATATGCAACCTAGGGAGGTAGTTGTAGCACTATGAAGGAC